GAAGTTAGCAACAGGTTTTAAGTGACGTGCTGAAGTTAGTTTAGTGGACAGTTGTCAAATGTCATACAATTATTAAAATAAAGTGCCCTTCTTGTAAAATAAAACTAAATGTAAAAATTATTTTATTATCTTAGTACAAATTTATTAAATAGTTTTTCAACGCCAATATTTAAAAAGTTTATATGAACCTTTGTGGATTGTCTATAAAACATTTTCTGTGTGAAAAACTGCTTCTATATCGGATTTAAACGGTCAATTTTAAAAGGATACTTTTGATTTACACCTAAAAATTTGATTTGATTTGATGATATATTAATATTTGGTTTAAATCATTTTAAGATAATAATAAGTATTTATCTTATTTAATTAAGCACTTGCTCGTATACCCTATTTAAATTCGTTACTAAAAATGGAGTTTATTAAATGTATATATTATAGATAATATAATCCACTCCCTCATTGATGACCTGTGACTTTATGGCGTTTTAGTCACGAGCTGAACTTAACAGTGGCTTTTGGACATTTTAGTCACGGTTTTATTATAATTTGACAGGTATCTAATGTTTAACAAATAAAATTGGCTTTAAATATTTATTTATGTTCGTTGTAGATAAAGTAAAGTATGCAACTCGTTTTATAAACTTCTATAGACATTTGTTTTTATTAAACACTCGCTCGCAAGCTTCGATAATGTCTAATAAAAATAAAATTGAGTTTATAAAACTTGATATATAATATAATATTAGAATTTACAACACTTTATTTGTCAATGTTAAAAAAAAATTTGAAATCATCATAAAATTTAAATTTGAATTAAAAATAAAACATGTCTGATAAAGAAGAGGGCCATTTAATTTTTTATATAAATTATTGCACCTACTGCGCTATTAATAATAAATTAAATTATACGTGCTTAAATTATGAAAAAATGTTTAAGTAAAATTTGATATAAACCTTATGTCTGTTTTTATTAAGATTATTATAAATGCGAATTTTATGTCCATGATGCCACAAACACGTGTTTTAAAGTATATTTATAATATAAATTCATTAAAATAAGTCATCAAAAATTAAATTTAACTATGTAACTATAACATATGTATATCTAACTACCTATCTGCGATTTATTTGATTGTGGAGTTTTCTTGATTTTTTTAATGAGTAGTCTGTTTGACAAGCAGAGCAAACTCATATTTTATAGGCAGTGATGTAATGTATCGAGATACATGTATCTAGATACTGGATCTAGATACATTTTATGTACCTAGATACGTATCGAAATACTTAAAAAAATCAGGATCTACTTTAGTATCTAGATCCTTTTGAAAGTATCTAGATCCTTAGATACAAGATACATTTTATTTTACACAACCTGATTGCAACTCCACACCGTGTGGGCCACACAGAAAATGAACATCCAATGGATATACTCTATGGATATCCAGGATATATACCTACATTGGATATAATAAACAATACAAATAATAAAAATATATTTTATTTCTTTTTCCCTTCAACCCACTTTGGAGTGCGAAGTGCATAAAGTAACTCTTAGGCACTAGTGAGTAAAGTTAAACAAAAGCGCTGTAGGTTACCTATAGTTGGCTTTGAAGGCATTTTTCTTCGTTCTGATAATTTTGAATTTGTACTACAAATTTTGTAGTAAGCTTTCATATGGCGCGTAAATATAAAATTTATTTCCGTTTTTCATGGATATTTCGTCAATTTTATCAAAACAGTTTTATTTTATAGTTAACACGCTTGTTTATAAGGTCCAAAAAATTTTTTTTATCATTTAATTTTTAAGTTTTTTTAACATAGTATCTGGAAGTAACTTAGATACTTTTTGAATGTATCTGTATCTGTACCCAGATACTTTTGGGAAAATGTATCGGTATCTGTACCCAGATACATCTACCAGAGAGTATCTGTATCGGTACCTAGATACTGAAAAAAATGTATCGGTTACATCACTGTTTATAGGTAGTATTGGACTCAATAGGCTTTTTTTAAGCTTGACACCTTCAATAATTCCTAACCATAACACCTAACGTATAAAAAGCAGGTGTATCGGTGACGCACGACAGAAGCTATAGCTTATAAGCTATAGCTTATAAACTATAGCTATAGCTATAGCTTAATTTTAATTTTAAATGTGCAATACCAAGAGAAAATCAATCAACTGTACATTATTTTCACGAGAATATTAAGACATCTGTCAAACCTAACAAACAAGTTTCCGAAATATATGTCGATTTATTTTCAGTTTATTCTCACTCCTAATTGTGATAATAATGTTGAAGAAGTGTTTCATTACTTAATATTTTGTTGGATCCCGCTGTATATGGTTTGTCTGTCATCTGTCATCTTGACACCTGTCAAAGTGTTTATTTATTTAAATTTATTTTTATCCAACATACACAGGGCCTTATTAATATTTTGTATAGTTTGCCTGTTACCTGTGATCTTTTTAGGTTGACAATAAAAAAAGCGTGTCGCTCGGTCGATCGGTTTTTCTGATATTCTAATCGCCATCCCAAAACCTCAAACCTCCGTTAAGAAGCATAGCTTAAATACCATATAAATACATATTGAGCAAAAAAAAACAAAATTGTACTATTAAAAATCAATTTACTAATGACAAAATTCTCTCTTGAAGGTATGGAGAGATCCAGATACTAGATAAAAGCGGATCCATATCCACTTAACTGGGGGAATAATTCGATAAGTAATGCGCGTGAATTTAAAGATTGTTAAAATTACACAAAAAGTTATAAAATCAGATTTGAAAGTTTTATTATAATACCTATAGGTATACTTGTTTCAAAATTTGACTTAGATGTTTTAAATTTTCAGTTGATAATAAATTTTAATCTGCGATTGAAAATACACTTTAGGGTGTTAAATTTTGGTAATAATTTTACTTAATAATATGTTTATGGGTTTTTGCTTTTTTAAACAGGGGATTCCCGCGTAGTAGCGCAAAAAGAAATATTGAAAATTCAAAATGGTGCGCAAACAATTGAGGTTAAAATTATTAAAAGTATCACATGGACGGTCTATGATGCAGAGTTGCAAATAATGGCTTATTAAAATGAATAAACATTATTAAAATGATTAATGTTTAATTTTCATTATGCATTATAATACCTACTTCTTTTTTAATGAAAATTAAGTTAATTACTCATTACATTTTTTCAAATGAGTAATGTACTCATTCTTTTTTTACATTACTCATTTTTAATTTGTAATGAGTATTTTGAAATTGTCAATTAAAATTTTTTATGTTAATGAGTAATGTACTCACTTTTTTTATGAGAAATGAATGATTACCTATTTTTGGATAATTTTGATACTTACACAAAAATTTTAAGTAATAAAAATTTTAATTCGGACCATTTTTAAAGAAATTAGCAGCAAAAAAACAAAAAACGTGATTGTTTTTAAAATTTGATATCTTTTGAACGATCAATCAAAAAAATATCAAACTTTACCAGAAAGGGATTTTTGTGGGTACTTAAGTAAAATATCGAAAAATAAAAGAAATCCAAACTCAACACTTTTTAAACTGTCAGACTTGGTGTAAAATGCTCCAAATAAAAAATCACCCCATTAACCCTACCCCTGATCATTTTTCACTGATGTAATGGGTAATGTCTTAAGACAAAATGTTGTTACATTTTTTTAATGTGTAATGTACGGTCTCTTATTACTAATTTTTTATTTTTTAATGAGTAATGTATTTATTAATGTGTAATGAAAATACCTAGTTATTTCTCATTAAAAATTATTTTTTAATGATTAATGTTTTAAAAATACATTATCATTAAAAAAAGTGACGATTCCATTATTTTTTACATTAACATTTTTGCAACTCTGCTCGGCAGAGTTATTAAGAATCTTAATTTAAGATGGATCTTTATTTCAAGCGCATGTCCGCGCCACTTTATTTTAAATGAACTATCCAAATGATTCCTTTCTCACGCCATGAGTTTAGGTGATACATAAATGAGCAAAATGCATAAGAAATTACGACGTGAGTTAAACTGAGAAAAATGTTGTCTTATAAGAGGTACTATATAGGTACTATAGTACCTATTGCTGTGCGGAATTTTTCTAGAAATTGTCAGAATATTTATAACAATTTGAAACAGAATTATCAATTAAGGATATCAAAGATATTAACGAATGATAGCATAGGTATATGCTATAGACTACAACATAATCAAAAGTGTCAAATATTATTTGACAAATAATCTATAGGTACCTACCTTTCCAGAATCAGTTCGACTCCTGTGATATCTGTCAACTTTTCTTGCACCATTGCTGCCACTTGCATTTCTACTGTTTGTTTTCTTGTAATGCGATCCACCAGTAAACATCATTTTTGTAAATTTTCAAATAAATCGATTTTTAACTCTAAATTCGCAGTTATTGATTAAATAAATTTCAGTGTAAAGCACATTTGTTTTCTTAATCATTGTGTGATTTTCAACACTTTCTGGGAAAATCCTCAATCAGCACCTCACATTAAAAATAAATTCCTTACTCATTTGTTTATATTAACTGAAAACAAATCCAAAAAACTGTAAAGTGTTTGAAACAATATAATCAATACAAAAATCACACAGAACTATTGTTTTTATTTACAAATCGTTAAAAACTAATAAATGCAACAGCTGTGAAGCATTTTCAAGATTTTAGCTATTTCATTTTCGACGAAACTATGCGATATATGTTTATACCAAGTCGTTGTAGCGAGGTTTTTATTTTTAGACGGACCCAATGCACAACAGACACACAAATTATTTTATAAATACACCTCAAAAACAACCATGCAAACCATAAAAACACAACACAACCTTAAGTCAACCAATTAAATCAACTACGTCCAAAAACTACTACTATTAATGTATAGATTGCGTCGAAATAAGTGCGCTCTTTTTTGAATTTAGCGGGTTTTAAAAAGTCAGGTCGGTCGGTAAAGTAGAACACCTATTCTTCCTTTGAGTACTCGGCGCAAACATGGTAGGTCCAAGCGATTTCCTTTGAGTTTTCTTTTATTATTTTGAACATCATCGAGTGAATTTGTCTAGTTTTTGCACAGTTTAATCGGGAAACTGCGCTGTATATAATTTCGTACATATTTTGTGATACTTTTGAGTTTTTAGTTATAAAAACTTCATTATGGTATGACAGTTAGGTTATGTGTTCAAAATACAAGAGAAAATTTTATTTAAAAGATAATTTTTGGTGTCAAATGTGTATTAATTTGTTTTGTTTTGCGTTTTAGACGAAGGGTACATCAAGTTTTGGTAAACGCCGTAATAAGACACACACTTTGTGCAGAAGGTGTGGAAGGTCTTCGTACCACATCCAAAAGTCACAGTGTGCACAATGTGGATATCCCGCTGCTAAAATGCGCTCCTGTAAGTACATTCTACATTATTGACCAGAAATATTAATCAAAAAACATTTTTAATCCTAGAATAACAAAGAAAATGTTGGGTTTTTGAACGATAACCCTTTTAAATTAGTGAATAAAACTGATTTGTTGTGGTAAATTATTGTGTTTACGTCTATTTTGTGCATTTTTTTGAAGAATTACACAATTTTTTATGTAAATGTAACATTTTCTTAACATATCTTTAATACAAAAATTGATGTTAACTGTTTTCTGGGGTAATTTGTGATTTTTAATTTAATTGTGGGAGTATTGATTTTTAACCTAGATATGTTCGAGTTTGTTGTAAGTTTTTGTTTTTTGTAGACAACTGGTCAGTTAAGGCTAAGAGGAGGAAGACCACCGGAACTGGTCGTCTTCGTCACATCAAAATCGTTCGCAGACGTTTCCGTAACGGATTCCGTGAGGGAGGTAAAGCTGTTAAGAAGACCCAAACTAAATAATTTTATTGTTTGTAACAAGTAAATTTAGTAAAAAACAACAAAGTGCTTTTGATTCCATGTCCCAGACTTCAAAGAAAGAAAAAATTAAGTTAGCCATTTTATTTTATGTTTTAGTGCAAAAAATATGTAAGGATGGAAATGAAATTTTTAATCCCATTTTTAAAGTAATTTAAAATACTATTTTATTTAAGTAACAAAAAAACAAGAGTTCTAAAGTTTTTGATATGATAATATTGATTACTATGCCAAAGATTTGCAAGCAATTTAGCTAACTGAAATTTAGAATTATAAGCATTTTTTGTTTTGAAGTCTGTTTAAAACTATATAGCCTATAGATTTTATAACAAGTAAATGGCTATAATTATAAGCTATTTAGTTGTTTTAAAACCCATAGGCTATATATAGTTTTAAACTATATATAGCCTATAGGTTTTAAAATTCTCGAAAGTTGAGTTATGACATAACTGTTATGTTGCTTACAATACTTAAGGCAGAAAGTCATTGATATATATATAATAATTTTAATTATTGAATGGGTTTAATACAATAATAAAAAGTAATATTTTAAATAATAAAGGACAACAAATGTCTGTTCTTTTCTAGTTTAAAAATATTAAGTAAATGTCGAGCAAATATCGTCCAATTTTCTGAAAAGAATGCAATATATAGTGCCTATCTGCATTTTTTGTGCTTAAGGGTTTTCATTAAGAACACAAATAATACTTATATTGTATTATTTTTAAGAAATATGATGAAATTAACATTAATTATTTCTATAGATATCAAAGTGGCTTGGTGGGACTTTGATGTGTCCACCTGAAGCATAGTATATACTGTGGTATATGCCCCACACATCAAAGTCACACCACTTAACTTTGATAGAAAAATTAATTTGCGACCACAGTATACAGTATGTACAAAAAAAATCCACTCACCCAACCTATAGGGTGCATAATATATGCTACAAGATTAATTCTATTTATTTTTTTGCTATCTTGCATTGTTTTCGAGATATTTGCACTCAAAATTCGCTAATTCGATAAAAAAGTTCCAAAGTAAAAAATTTAGATCCTTCCTTTTTCCTGAACTAATGGGTAGTATTTGAGGTGGAAGTATAGAAACAAAACAAGCAATCTCCACAATTTTTTTAGCACACAATTTTCTAATACCTTATAAGTTATGTCAAAATAAACATAGGTAAAGAAATAAAATTTCATGTTGTACTAGAAAATTGAGTTCTAAAAAAATTGACAAAGTACTTTGTCAATTTTTTTAAACCTTTTTACCCCTTATTTTAGCTTAGTAGGAATGCATTGTTGTCTAATAATTGATAACTGCATACTCAACCAAATGTGTCAAAGTATAATTATACTAAAAAAATTGAACTTTAAAGTTCAATTTTTTTATCTGGACTTCGGCAACGTTGCAAGTTTAGGGTTTTGGTTGGTAAATACAGTTGTCAAGTTGGTCGCATTGATTAAAACAAACTAAGCTAGTTATAAATCTAATTGTGGTTATGTATAAATTATTGTAGGTTACATTGTGCAGTTGTCAAGTTGAGTTGTCGAAAGTCGTAGTTAAAAATGCAATTAATTTGGCTTTGGTGGTGCTTGGATGAGTAAAATCATATAAAAAAGTAGTTAAATATAGGTTGCTTTACGGCCCAGAAGAGAAAGTATTCCTGGCGGATAATAATCTTCGCTTTGAAAAGAATTTATATAAAAGAAATTAAAATTTTTTGTGAACGTAAATGTTGTCCAATGGTGAATAATGTGAAAATTATGTGTGAAGTAATATCGTCACCTGAGAATTATAGTGTTCTATCTGCATTTTTTTTTTTAAATTTAGGTCAGTCTTGTTTTAAGTCTTAAAGATGCATATTATAATATGTTAATTTGTAACAATTGTTTTATCTATACATAATTGGGGTAGAAATTGTACAGTTTAAGCCTTAAATTGTACAATTTTTACCCCAATTATATATAGATAAGAACAATATGCATCTTTAAGACTTAAAACAAGACTACCCAGATAACCAAAGTTTCTTAGTAAACCTAAAGAAACGCGTTGTCGGCAATAACAAGCTGGCATATTTCATGCAACAGTAAGCCAATAAGTTGGAAGTCCAAAAAATTTCCCGTCAGTTGCATGCAAACTGCAAGAAAAATGTTTAGGCCCAAGTTTGACACGTATTTCCAATAATTTCTGATTAAGAGTTGTATTCAACAGAGGTGTAACCGACGGGCAACACATTTCCTAAAATACCTTGTTGGTCAGTTGCATGAAAACTGCAAGAAATTTGTTTCCGCCCAAGATAGCCGCTTATTTTCAATAGATTCCAGTCAACAATTGTATGCAACAGAGGTGCAACGGACGGCCAACATATTTCCCACAATAAAGAACCGCGCTTGCGCGAGAGTCCCCGCTACCGTTGCTCACCATTTGTTCTTTATAATTTATGGTTTGTCCTGCGAGTGTGTGTACGACGTGTTGATTAATATAAACAAGAAATCTATCAGGTATGTTTTATGCACGCAATAGTTATCTATTAGCTTTAGCTGTACCTATATCCATATGGAAAAATCTAAAAATCCTTTGAAAATACAAAAAAATACAAAAAAGAAACCAAGACGTAAGTAAATTTTTAAATAATTTGTTATATTGAAGTGAAACTTCTTTCGGCATGTACCTAAATAGAGGCTATAAAAATGTAGGATTTTTTGAAGATGTAGTTTTTTCTTTGAAGTATTATAATTTTATAAGGGTTTTTATTCAAATAACATTAATTTATTTAAAATTTCAGAAGCTATTATAATAGCGGTAATTTTAAATTAATTAATTAATGTAATATCTTTTTTGTATACAAAAATTTGTTGTAGTATACTACAACAAATTTTTATAAAGCACACCTTACCGCCCTTGTAAAATTTGCATTTTTGAACCAATTTTTATCGCTCTTAAATATATTTGTATATAATACCAGCTAGGCATTTTTTAATTTTTTGATAATCAAAAAAGTGCCGTGAATAAACACATTTAGTGGATATTTTAATAGAACCAAATGCTTCCCAAGAAACGACAAAATATACCCTAGTGTAAGTGGTATAGTCTAATAAACATGTGCATAAAAAATTATCAAATTATTAATTAAAATCTGACTGAAAAAATTGTCAAGCCAAGCGTTAATAAATTATTTTTATTTTTCAGATTGATTATGGGGCCTTTATAGGTGGTGACACCTTAAAAGAACACATTCATAAACTGTTCAGGAAGTTTATCTCCGACGAGATATGCAATATACATGGGGGGGATGAGCAAGGCAATCATCCCCTTTACAACCCTGGTCTTGTTAGGGCTATTTTTGGTATGTTAAATACTGTTTTATACAAACTAAACATATGTTTATTGCTAAACATATATTTATTGCAGGAGCTGTGGGTACCAATAAAAACTTTGATCCACCAACGCGTGTTGAACTTCAAAGAGAGGTAACGGCGAGTGGCAAAAGTTTTGCCGCAAAACAGCGTCAACGTATTACCGCTAAAGCCTGATTTATAGATTTCCTTCCTTCCTTCCTTCCTTCCTTCCTCTCATAAAAGATGAACAATACGAAAATCGTAATGCCATTTATAGATTCCCGTATGGGAATCTTTAAAAAGCACAACGGTTTTTGTATTGTTCATATTCTACGGAAGGATGGCCTTTTGAAAAATGTATTTTTTTCAATAAAGAACATTTATTATTATTATTATTATTTATTATTATATAAATTATCGGCTTATAAGGTTATTCTGTTGTGTATATAAATATTTATATTATTATTATAATTTTATTTCTTTGTGAATATAGGTTTTTTTGTAATAAAACGACGTTTGAAAAAATTCGAGTATGAAAATTTACGCCTAACCCTCTTGTTAAAATAACAATACCAATAAATGAGGCATTACTGAATTTGGTGGCAATTTGCCGTTACCCTACAAACAATAACGATACAAAAAACGATAAGAATTCCGAGGACTCGTAATCCGACACTTTTAGATTCTACATTCTTATCGTCACGATATCGTCAAATGACGTTGATGTCGATATGTATTTCGATATCGTGAACGAGTCAAAACGCGATATCGCCAACTAACGTCGATGCCTATATGCTTGTCGATATCGCGAACGAGTCGAAACGCGATATCGTTAAACGATGTCCGCCGATATCGTAAACGAATCGAAACGCGATATCGTAAACGAATCGACACGCGATATCGTAAACGAATCGACACGCGATATCCTAAACGAATCTACATACGATATCGCGAATCTAGAGGGGATAAAATTTTAAATAAAAAATATGCAATTAAAAAAGCCTTTTTTTATTTATGACATTTACAAACAAAAACCACAATGGCAAGGAATTGTTATTACAATAATAAATTTATAACATTTTTAAAATAAACTTAAAAAATAAAATAAACTTTTAAAACAAAATACAGTGTCACCAAATAAGTTGTGATAGTACACTCTTAAGTAAGCAAGTTATTCCCCTATTACTTTTGCATTAGAGCTAATATTTTTGAATAAAAAATATATAAAAATTATTAAAGTATTTTGACCCCGTCACTGATTCCTTTCTGAAGATAAGTAAACTTGACCCACTTAAACTTCCTGTTTACAGGTGGTATAATGGGTCAAATAAATTCAACATTTAACTGATTCTTTTAATTACTGCTAAATAACTGGCCACCTATACTTTATGGATTTTTGCCAAAACATATGTTTTTTATAGGTCGTTAAACAAAAACATCAGTGGCATACGAAAAATTACATCAATTTTTATACTTTTTTTATTCAAAAACAGTAGCTTATTGCAAAAGTGATAGAGAAAAAACGTACTTACTTTAGTGTGTATCACCCCCTTAATAATAAAAATAAATAACTCTGATAAAACTTATTATGCCATAATAAAGTAACGCCCAACTCTATAGAAAGATTAAAGTGAAGTGAAACCAATGCAACTTGCATTATGCAAGTGAACAATTTTACCACTAATT